ATTGCTGTAAGAGTTGACCTTGATTTGTGACCTTGACCTTGGAGCTGGGGGATGAAAAGTGTATGTCGTTTCTCTAGTGATGATGCATACATGTATAAAGTTTTGTTAAATCATCTTGAGCGAATCAGATGCTACGGGCGGGACAAGAGAATTTTTACGAACAGAACTACAAACGAAAACTACAAAAGAATATGTCCGACTTTAAACGGCCGTATAAAAACATTTTTGTTTATTTCCATAAAACGTGTGCCAAAACTCAACAAATCATGCCTCGTATGTGCACGGGTCTCGTATTGTATTTGGAATAAATAGATCTTGCTGAAAATTTATTTTAAAAAAAACGCAGCACAGAGAGCAAAAATCCACGTCTTTACAAGTAAATGACCTCAAACAACAAGCGTGGGGCAAACAAGTAGCCCGCCTAACACCCGCTCAGCTGCACTTTACACGAGCAGAGCTGGTATTTGCTTCTTGTAGGCTTTTTTTTTTATTTATCCAAGACTGCGGAGCTTATATAACCCTGAGGAGTCCAGCACGTATTGAGAACCAGAGCAGGTTGTCTGCAGGATCAAAGCATGAAGGCGGCCATTTTTCTCTGCCGGTTTACGTACGTCTGTTTACACGACGAGGTTTTCCCCTCGGAGGGGCAGACGAACCGCTGAATGTCTGCATTGTGTCGGCGAGCGAGCTAGAACAAAACGGGAGGCGAAGGAGACGGAGGGGAGGGCGGAGAGGGGCTGCTGCCATTGTGCGCTCCCTAATCTCGTTAATGGTCTGAAGGACCTGGCAGGAAAACAAACGTTGTTTTGTGAGACGGACTGCACCCCCCCACCCCCCCGATCTTCTCCAAACAGCGGGTCCACTTCCAAAAGGAGAATCGCTGCCGAGGGCGTCCATCCAAATTCAATTTGAGGTCGGGATCAAAACGGCGAGCGTGCAGCCGGTGTGTTTGCACAGCTGAGGAGGTCCCAAGAAAAACCAACAGAGCCAGAACCCAAGGGTTCTCTGGTGCCACGGCACGAAGAGAAAAACTAAACGAGCAGTACGCCATGTCCCCCCCCCCCCCATCGCTGAGGATTAAGTGTAGTAGATGTTTATTTTCAGAAGTTATTTACAATGCTAGCATCACCCAGCCCTCTGTGAATAGCAAGCGACCATCAGAGCATTTAGCTAGTTCTGGACGTCAACAACAAACTGGTTGGTCCACCATGAGGAGGTGCTATTTATAAGACTGAGTTAGTTGCAGCTCCTCAGACTGAAGAAGTCCTTTGGATCAAAATGTTTCAAGAAGAAGAATCCGTCCAGAGCACCTGGTTAGATTCATCTACCTGGATTATCGAGCAGCGCCAGGATCTTTCAAGATGAGCGTTTTTTTTCTGAACTGGAACTGAACAAGAGAGTGAGAGTCAACCTACATGTTGTTTATTCATACAGTGAGGAGAACGGAGGGAGGTTTTAGTCTTTCTTGGTGGCCGAGGCGGCGCAGAGCGACTGATCCTGGTGAGAGCAATGTTATCCAACAGCAGGTGCGGAGCCAGAGGGTGGCCAATGGGGGCCTTGGCCACCATAGATTACCGTATTTACCAGCGTATAAGTCAAAGTGTTTTGCACAGATTCTACGCTGAAGCGACGTATATTTTTTTCTTCATATTCATAACGCAATTTTTGACTGACGCTTTAAATTTCTAAAAACCGTAACACACGAGTCCTCCCGTGCGCGCTCGCTTCACTCAGCTGGTGCGGGCGGAGGCACGCTGGAGAGCTAGCGGCTCCGGTCGCGATGGATGGATGGGTGAATGGCGCCGCGCTGCCTATGTGAAATGAAGCCGTTCTGACCATTAAATAAATGCGACTTATACGCCGAAGCGACTTATTTACGTTTTTTCCTCTTCGTGATGCGACTTAAACTCCGAAGCGACTTATACGTCGAAAAATACGGTAATCTTTTGGCCAACTCAATAGTTTGAAGAAATTATATTATTAAGTAATATAAAAGCTAGAAAGCAGTTTTGTGAAATGATCAGGGGTGGCTGAGTTTAGTTGCATACAAATGTGGTGGCGGCCATTTTGGATTTTGAAGCGGCAACCCTTACGTATAGATGCAGCCACACACCAAGAAGGACGTCGTTAGCTCATTTTTCACGTCACGGCGCTCACAACATGCACGAACGTACGGACAGAGGGAATTTCCAGGTCCCTCTCTTCGCTCTGCGACCGGGTAACAATATATGGTGGTGGCCATCTTGGATTTTGACCACTGAAAAACCACCGATACTGAATAAAACTTTAACGAATCCTTTCTGGATATTTGACGTCACGTGCTTTAAGAAGGATTCGGGTCGGGCTTTCCAACGGCAACATAAAATGTGTCGAAGGTCTCTTTTTGTAATGAAACTGCGCACGCACGTCCGAGCTCGTCGTCAACCGTCGTGTGGACCGAACCACTCCAACAAATTGCAGCAGCGAATAATCTCAATCTAATCACTTTGATGCTTTCAACTCGTAGCGCCACGAATTTACATTATTTTGTGGTTTTCTTCTTTGAATGTCTCCTTTGGAGCAAAATGTATTGAATTACTTCTTGAGATGACGCTGATGTTAAACTCCACCTTTAATTATTTTCAGCTCGTGTCTTTCTACTTCAAGGCCACGGCTACAGAAGCAGATTGAGACCTGACAGGGCTCTTGTCCTAATCCCCGGTGTCTAGATTACGGCTACCTTCCCTCCCTGCAAGTCGACCAACTGGCGGACTGAATCCGAGCCCAGATGGGATGAAGGCAGCCAGTTCAGGCAAGGGGGGAGCCCATGGCAGCTCACGGTTTCACTCACATCGAATCCAGCTTTTGTGTTGGTCGTCGGTAGCGCCAAAAAGAAACAGGAGAAAATGCATTTCCTGCAAAAAATGCATTGAATGCTTATTGCAGAAGAACTTGCTGAAATGTAGCTGAAATGGAAGAACAAGCCTAAATTAGCAGAAGAAAGCAGAAAGAACACGTATTTGCTGGATTAGGTTTAAATAAGCAGAAATGAGCACGAAAATATAGGAAATTAGCAAAAAAAAAGACTAAATTAGCAACAAAAAATTGCTGAAAAGTAGCTGAAAAGTAGCTGAAAAGGCAGAAAGAAGCTTAAGCTACCAGAAGGAATCGAAAAGAGCTGAAATTACTTTAAAAATGCGGAATTAGCTGAAAAAGTTAAATTAGCATACAACAGCTAAAAAGTAGCTGAAATAACTGAAACTAGCAGAAAAGGTTGAAAAGAGCACAAGCTGAAATTAGTAGAAAGAAATTATTTAGGTTGAAAGAAGCAGAAATTACCGTGAAAACTTGAATATATCTGAAACCAGTTAAAATTAGCTAAAAAGCTAGCTGAAAAGGTAGAACAAGCTTAAATTAGCAAAAGAAAGCAGACAGAATATGGTTGTTCAAATAGGCTGAAAAAAATGAGAAATTGGCACAAAAAATGGAAATTATCTGAAATAAGCTAAAATTAGCACACAAAAAAACAGCTAAAAAGTAGCTGAAATAAATTAAACTAGCAGAAAAAATTGAAATTAGAAAGAAGTTATTTAGGCTGAAAGAAGCAGAAATTACCACGAACAGCTTGAATATATCTGAAAACAGCTAAAATTAGCTAAAAAGCTAGCTGAAAAGGTACAACAAGCTTAAATTTGCAAAAGAAAGCAGGAAAAACATGTTTGACCAATTAGGCTGAAAGAAATTAGCACAAATTAGCGCCAAAAAAAAAATCAAAATTATATGAAAAAAGCTGAAATTAGCAAAAAACAACTAAAGAGTCGCTGAAATAACTCAAACTATCAGAAAAAGCTGAAAGGAGCATAACAAGCTGAAATTAGTAGAAAGAAGTTATTTAGGCTGAAAGAAGCAGAAATTACCGTGAAAACCTTGGAATATATAAGAAACCAGCTAAAATTAGCTAAAAAGCTAGCTGAAAAGGTAGAACAAGCTTAAATTAGCAAAAGAAAGACGATGTTTGTCCAAATAGGCTGAAAGAAATTAGCAGAAATTAGCACAAAATGGAAATTATTTGAAAAATGCTGAAATAAGCAAACAAACAAACAAAAAAAAGAAACAGCTGAAAAGCAGCTAAAAAAGCAGAAAAAGCTGAAATTTCCAGATTGTCAAGAGCTTTTTTTTTTTTTTTTGGCTGAATTAGGCTGAAAAAAGTTGAAACACGTGAAAAAAA